ATTTCCCCATCTATCCCCTCGTCCAAATCGTTGATGAAGATGTTGAAGAGCACTGGGCCCAGAACAGAGCCCTGGGGCACCCCACTACACACTTCCCTCCATGTAGATGCAGTTCCATTGAGGACCACACGCTGAGTACGGCCGGTCAGCCAGCTACGGATCCATCTGGTGGTGATGCTGTCTAACCCACATTTTTCTATCTTATCAAGTAGTAGGTTGTGATCTACTTTATCAAATGCCTTACTGAAATCCAAGTAAATTATATCCACAGCATTCCTCTGATCCACTAATTTTGTCACTTGGTCAAAGAATGCAATAAGATTTGTCTGGCATGATCTGTTTTTGACAAATCCATGTTGGCTTTTAGTAATGACTTTGTTTGCCACTAGGTGTTCGCTGATTCGTTGTTTGATTATCTTTTCCAGAATCTTCCCAGGTATTGAGGTCAGGCTGATAGGTCTGTAATTTCCTGGATCCATTTTTTTTTCCTTTTTTGAAGATGGGAACTACATCAGCTCTTTTCCAGTCCTCTGATAATTCCCCAGTGCTCCAAGATCTTTGAAAAATATAGTTCAGTGGTTCTGAGATCACATCTGCCAGTTCCTTGAGAACCCTGGGGTGTAATCCATCTGGTCCTGGTGATTTGAACTCGTCTAGGCTGGACAGGTGCTCACTTACCGTTTTCTTGCCTATCTTAACTTGCGTTTCTATTCTGTTTTTTATGGCACTATTTTTGGTAGGTTGGTCTGTTTTTTCCCTTTGTGTAAAGACAGATGCAAAAAATAAGTTAAATAGTTCTGCTTTCTCCCTGTTGCTTGTCACTTTCTTGCCACTTTCGCCCACTAATGGACCAATCATTTCCTTCACTTTTTTCTTGTTTTTTACATGTTGAAAGAAGCTTTTTTTGTTATTTTTTACTTTGGTCGCAAGCCTTAGTTCATTTTGAGCCTTAGCTTTCCTCACTTCATCTTTGCAGGCTCAGGCTATTTGCTGATATTCTGACTTACCGTAGTTATGTGCCCCTCTTTCCACTTTCTATAGAGCTGTTGCCACAGTAGATTTTCTAGCTGCACTTTTAAAAAAAAATTAGACTTGCTGTGCTGTAGGTGTCACATTCTTGACTTGATTGAGTATGAGGGCAGAATTTGTGGCCAAGGGATTGAGCTATAAATCCATATATATTTGGGTTGACTCTTGACTTTAGTGTGGATTCATTAAGTGGCTTTAAGCAATCCAGTTTGTCAGCTTCCGTCTCCTCATCTGTAATCTGGTTATTCATTTGTCTGATTGTTAAGTGCAACTAAATGCTTAAATACACCAGATAAATTTTGTTAAGGATTCTTAATTCTTATAGATCTAGGTGAGTAATGACTTTTCATTCCTGGAAAATCTTTTTGTGGATAGGCTTTGTGGAAGCCTATCCATAAAAACTGAACCACCTCATATTGTATAGTTCAGCCATCTCCAATTCAGTATCTCACACTGAGAACTACATCCTCCCGCCAATATCTTCAATTCTCATTCCAACTGTGGATGATTAGCATTACAGTCTAAGTAATTGAACTGTAACACCAGTTTGGGAAGGGGTGTGCTACCCTATCCATCTGCTTGGAGTGTTTTGATCCATTCTGCCAAATAGTCGTTCTTTCAGCGTTAAAGTAGGATAATCAGTGGGGAAGTGAAACAAATTGATTTATTTGCTCAAATAACTGAGCAAATGACTTCAAGAAAACCTGTGAAAATCCTAACAATACAAGTGGCGATTTTGCAACCATACAGGCCCAAGCATGAAGGTTTTACTGTAATGATAAGTCTCTGGTTAATACAATAAATTTATATTTTTTTAAAAAGTATGCTTATTTTGGAAAAGAGAATATGAGGAGAAAATGTGAAAATAATAATTGTGCACCCAAACAAACACTATTCCAGATAAAATGAGTTAAGTTAATCTGACAGAGCAGGTTTATTTTTTTCTTGAACAGTTTTGGTTTTCCAACAATCTTGCAGGAAACGGTTCATGCAAAAAAGCACGATCTAAAGGAGAACATATTTGGCAATTTAATTAGACATCATTAGGGCAACTGAGACTAAAAGCATAGCTACATTTTTATGGAAATCCAATTTTTAAAAAAAACAATCTCTAAGCAGAACATAACATGTTTTGCCCATTCATGTGATTATCTCCTAATTTGCATCTTGATCCAATTTTTAATAAATACATATTAACTAAGCCAATCAGTTCCAGCTAAAAATTAACATAAATAAAATCTTAATATGTGAAAACATTAGAAAATAGAAACATTGACTTGATCTATTCAGCTTTCTAAACCTGACAATTTGTGAGGAAGTCAGAAGAACAACAGAATTTTGCTAGGGAGACAAGGAAACCTTATAAGAATGCTTTGTTCCAGCAGAGTATGAGGAGATCATAGATTCAAAAGCAGTGAATGCATAAGTAAAGTAAATCCTGAATGGAAGTCCTGAACAAAATAAAGCAAAAGAATAACTTTAACTGCAAGATATAATATTGACAGGAAATATCTCTCAGGAAGGCAACTAAACAGGAAATATTAACATTCAACAGGGGGAAATAAATACAGAATAAAAGATCATATTTCTTCGTCTGTTAGAAGCCCCATGTTTGTCAGATATAACAATAAGCATTTCCCAGTTGGGGCATCTGTAGGTTCCTGCTACTTCTATCAAAATGAAATTGAGTGATACAAGCTGTACCCCTTTTGGACCTGTGTGCAATTTCAAAATGCATTGCAAAAGAGCAGGGCTTGCATTGTGATGGCATGATGCTCTTTTGTCAGATTGACCCCCTTGACTCTCCCACAGAAATCCATATTACACCTGCTAGCACTCAACAGCTTTCCTGAGATTTAGATCTATACCAAAGCTCAGGAGACAACACTATTGAGCCTGGCTTTGTCAGTAGATTAAAAAAAAAAATCTAATTATGATAAATGTCTTGGGGTAAGGGGAGAAGGGGGGAATTCTAATCATATTTTTTTTAAATGTTGTGCTTTACCAAATCATGCTATATAAAAAATATAAGCGATGTCATTTATACAGAAAAAAAAAGTTGCACATCATCTATTCATCTTCATTTCAACAATCTTCCATACTAGAGCAGACATGTCAAACTCGCGACGTCACGTGACGTATCGGAGCTTTTTCCCCATTGCTGGTAGAAGAAGCAGTTCATGGAGGACAAAAACATTCAACAGCAGAGAGCGGTTTCATTTAGAATGCTCTTAAATGACAGTGTGGAGCAAATTTGGTAAATGGAATAAATCTTGCAAGTCCTGTCCAGAATAATGGGAAGCAAACCTTTCTTGGTGTTCTGCTCTCCTAAGGAAAACATTAATATAGTTATAGTTTGGAAATGCATAATAGTCTATCAGTTGTCCACACCTGATGAAAATCCTGTGGGACTAGTGAGAGGATGAATAATAATAATAATAATAATAATAATAATAATAATAATAATAATAATAATAATAATAATAATAATAATAATAATAATAATAATAATAAAAGTTGGAAGGGACCTTGGAGGTCGTCTAGTCCAGGGCTTCGCAACTTGGGCAACTTTAAAACCTGTGGACTTCAACTCCCAGAATTCCACAGCCAGAATGGCTGGGCTGTGGAATTCTGGGAGTTGAAGTCCAGAGGTCTTAAAGTTGCCAAGGTTGGGAAACCATGGTCTAGTCCAACCCCCTGCTCAGGCAGGAAACCCTATACCATTTTGGACAAATGGCTGTCCAGTCTCTTCTTAAAAACTTCAAGTGTTGGAGTATTCACCACTTCTGGAGGCAGGTTGTTAAACTGGTTAATTGTTCTAACTGTCAGGAAGTTTCTCCTTAGTTCTAGGTTGCTTCTCTCTTTGGTTAGTTTCCACCTGTTGCTTCTTGTCCTGCCTTCAGGCGCTTTGGAAAATAGCTTGACTCCCTCTTCTTTGCGGCAGCCCCTGGGATATTGGAACACTGCTATCATGTCCCCCCTCGTCCTTCTCTTCGCTAAACTAGACATACCCAATTCCAGCAACCGTTCCCTATATGTTTTAGCCTCCAGTCCCCTAATCATCTTTGTTGCTCTTCTCTGTACTCTTTCTAGAGTCTCAACATCTTTTTTACATCGTGGTGACCAAAACTGGATGCAGTATTCCAAATGTGGCCTTACCAAGGCATTGTAAAGTGGTATTAATACTTCACGTGATTTTGATTCTGTCCCTCTGTTAATGCAGCCAGCACTGTGTTGGCCTTTTTGGCAGCTGCAGCACACTGCTGGCTCATATTTAAGTGATTGTATCTTTCAGTCAGAATGATTAGAACCTGTGAATAGTAAGTGCCCTTTTTTCAACCAGTTTTATTTGCAGTATTGAAGTTAATTTCATTTCTTTCACGGAGATCTACTGTAGATTTTCAGAGGCACAAGTTGGTTGCAACTTTTCCAATGTGATCCCATTACAGGTGTGTGTATGTCTACCTCCCAAATTCACAGCAACATGACATTCTGAGCATTCTGGGAAATTAAATTTACACATCTGAGGAGTTTCCAGATTAGGCTGGTAGGCTGGCACATAGATTCAGCATGTTCCAAAATTAGGGAAATCTCCTCCCACAACTGCCTACAAGATAAATTTGGATGGGAATTCACCAAGAAATACCAGAACAATAAGCTAGACTGGAAGGTTAATAAACATATCAGAAAAAGACCAGAAATCTATATGGGTTTATCTGTGAAGTGACCAAGAGTAAGCTTGATTTGAAGAAAACATTATCTTTTATAGCCAAAAAGAATAGCTTCAGACTTATAGCTTCAGAAATTTCCTTTTTAAAAAAAAAACATGGTAGAAATTATATGACTTAAGTGAGCCCAATCATTATTTTCGGTGTTTTAGCACATTCTCATTGACATTATTTACTTTGAGAAACCTTTCTTTCTGAATTGGAAAATAAGCATTTAATTCAAACGGCATTGCACTTTTTTAGGTCAGGCCATGCTTTTGCTGCCATTGGAGAAATCATCTATATGTTTGGCGGTCATTCCAATGAAGATGACTATTATACTGATGTGTATGCACTGGACACAGGTACTTTTGATTATATATAATCATTTTGTTCGATTTACGAACTGCAGTTGTAAGTTAGCAAAGTAATGATTCAATGAAGAGATGAAAATAAATATGACAATCCTGGACCATTTATGGATATCTTTTTAGCAGTTCCAGAGCCCCCCAAAATTCTGCTACTAGGAGTTCATATGGTTACCTACTATATTTACCAAAAGGGAAGACAAGGGCTTCCCACTTATCTGTAAATGGGGCAGAGTCATCTTTCATTTGCTGAGAATATGGTATTATTATAGAATGCATATATTTCCTTCTAAGAGAAAAGATCTGTCCATTTGTTGTAAAAGGAAGGGGAAAACAGCTCAGTGTCCTGTGATTTATTCTCCTGTCTCTACAGAATGTATATGGAATAAATTGAGCTAAATAGATCTACCCCCCCAGCACAGAATTAGCCTACGCATATTAATGTGGGAGGGAAAACCATTGACCTCATCGGAATTTACTACAGATGGGATGCCGTTTACACTCATTTTAATGTGGGATGCCTTATAAATAAATAATTTGGCAACCAGACAATTCATTTAACTGACAAAGACCTGATTTCTTAGCAACCAATCTTCCCTAGGGGATGAGGATGGATCATCCTTCTTTTCAGATAAATACGGTATTCAGGAAAATACATTATTCTGAATCCTTTGGCAAATGGAGTACAACAATATCAAAAGAGGATACACAACAAAATGTAAAAAATGATCCATGTAATTTAAATTTCACTGATTTTGGTGGAATTTAAATTCAACTAACTATGTAATCACAGCATAGTGCAGAGTAGGCAATTTTGTGTGGCTGGGACATAGCTAGGATTTTGAGAGCATGTGCTAGGTGTGTTTACAAAATGACCATCAGGTTAGGCATCATCAGTCAAATAAAGTTCTCTACAATTTGATAGGACCTTTGTAGGATCCAAAGGTATTCCTGCAGTCAGCATAATGCTAGAGGCAAATGATTTTCTTTACAGCATTCTAGCTTTTAATTTAATATTGTTATTAGACAAATATTTTCTTAAAATCAGATACTGTGTTTCCGTCAAATAAGACCCAGTCTTTTTTTTTTTTTTTTTAGAAAATTTTATTTATTTTTTCCATCATAAAAAAAACAGTCATAAGTAAGCACAATCAACAAACAATAACCCCCACCCCCACCCCAGAACTTCCCAAACCTAATCCCAGGATAATATTAATTTAAAAGTAAACAAATACTAATATCTCTAACTCCACAAAATATCTTAATCTACAAGAAAAGATAGAAATAAACAAACTTAAAAAAATCTAAAAACCTAAATTATATTCTACCACTCTATGTTTCTTTTGAATATAAACAATCCATCTTCTCCATATTGATAAAAATTGTTCATTCGAATGGTTCTTCAAGTAAGCCGAGATCTTTGCCATTTCAGCAAGATACGAAACTTTCAATCTCCAGTCTCCCATCGTAGGCAGAATTGGGCTCTTCCAACTTTGGGCTATTAGCAATCGGGCAGCAGATAAACAATAAAGCATCAGATTTATTTCTTTTGCATCTAAATTTTGCACAATACCTAAAAGAAACAACTGTGGAAGGAAAATAATCCTTTTTTTAAAAATCTGCTGTAAGTTCCACCATAATTGTACCCAAAAGGCCTTAATAACCTTACAAGTCCACCACATATGAAAAAAAGTTGCATCTAGATGACCACATCTCCAGCACTTGGATTCATAATTCGGATAAATACGAGACATAGTTGAGGGATCCAGGTGCCANTGTGTAAACTTCACATTTCTCACCCAGATCAACTCCCAAGTGTCCATAGGTATTGTTTCTCCTATATTTTGAGCCCATTTAATCATACAATCTTTGACTAGTTCAGTTTCTGAGTCCAATTCTAATAAAACATTATATATCCTCTTAATATGAGCTTTGGCACCATCTCTTATTTGCTTCAAAAAAATCCCATCTTCCAGAACAAAAGAAGTCTTTTTATCAATTCGCCATCTATCTTGAATTTGTCCATACAAAAGCCAAGAAAAATTTGGGTTATTTTGCTTTAACACATCCATTGATTTTAGGCACCAGTTACCACCACCACTCTGGTATAACAAATCTTTGTAGGTAGGTCCCTCCATCACCACTCCGGCTTTTCCATCAAGCGGGATTGGCCTAGGGGGGGATTTTATAGGGATTTTAAAGGGATTTTATAATTTTTCTAATACAGGTTAATTAATATATATTTTAATTTGGTTTTTAAATATTTATTGTATAGCTCTGTTTTTATTTACCTGTAAGCCGCCCTGAGTCCCTCGGGAGAAGGGCGGGGTATAAATTAAAGTAATAATAATAATAATAATAATATGATTTCTGAAGGTTTTATCAGTTTTTTTCTGCATAAAAAGATAAGCATGCCACCCAAAGTACAAGTCCCAGCCTTCGACATTCAAAATCCCTTTGTTAGACAAGTTAATCCAGTCAGTCATCCACGTTAATGCACAAGAATCATAATAAAGTGTCAAATTTGGTACTTTAAGTCCTCCACGTTCTCTAATGTCTTGAATAATCTTAAATTTGACTCTCGCCTTCTTGCCTTCCCAGATGAAACGATTCAAATCTCTTTGCCATTCTTTCAAGTTAATTTCATTTTTTAAAATAGGTATCATCTGAAATAGAAAGAGAAACTTAGGCAAAATAGTCATTTTGATGGCCGCTATACGACCCAACAACGAAAGCTGTAATTTTTTCCACAATGATAAGTCCTTTTGTACCAATTTCCACAATCTTTCATAATTATTCTGATAAAGTTTCGCGTTGGATGATGACAAAAAAAATCCCAAATATTTAACTTTATTAACCACTTCAAATCCTGACATCTGCATAAGTTGATCTTTATCTCTTACAATCATGTTCTTTGTAAGAATTTTAGTCTTATTCGCATTGATTTTAAATCCAGCCACTTTACCATATTGGTGTAGCTCTTGCAACAAAAATTCCAATGATTTAATTGGTTGAGTTAATGTAAAAACTAAGTCATCAGCAAAGGCTTTAAGTTTATATTCTTTAGTAGAAATCTTTAAGCCTTTAATCATTGGTGATTCTCTAATTCTAGACAACAGAATTTCCAAAGACAGTACAAATAATAATGGAGAAAGTGGACAACCTTGTCTGGTGCCTTTTTGTATTTCTATAGGTTCTGTCAGGTCTCCATTAATAATTATTTGAGCAGATTGTTTTTGATATATCGCTTTTATGGCTGTCATAAATTGGTTTCCAAAATTCATATAGTCCAATATTTTATTTAAAAACTGCCAGTCCAATTTGTCAAAGGCCTTCTCCGCATCTAAAAAGATAAAAGCCGATGGCACTTGATTATTCTTATCCAAATATTCCAATAAGTTCACAATTTGTCTAATATTATTCTTCATATATCTTCCAGATATAAAACCAGTTTGATCATCATGTATATAGTATTGCAATATCTGCATCAGTCTATTAGCCAAAATTTTCGCAAAAATTTTATAATCCACGTTCAACAAAGAAATAGGTCTATAATCCTTAAGTTCCAAGATCTCTTTCTCATCCTTCGGTATCAAAGATATAAAAGCTCCTGTCCATGACTGTGGTATTCGTTCTCCCAGCATAATTCTATTAAATAATATTTTTAAAGGTTGAATCAGTTCAGCTGACAAAGTCTTATAATAAATTGCTGTCAAACCATCCGTACCAGGAGCTTTACCAGTTTTCAATTGTTTAATTGCATTTAGAATTTCATCTGCAGTAATCTCTTCATTCATCAGTTTCTTTTGATCTGGTGTAAGTTTATATATGGATGAAAGTTGTAAGTATTTATCAATATCCTCAGTTTTTATAGTCCCAGCAGCATATAAATGTGAATAAAATTCTGTAAACGCTTTCTTAATCAATTCTTGTTGATATACCTCGCGGCCCTTAACCACAACTTTAGATATAAGTCTGGCTTTCTGTCTCTTGCATAATTGGTAAGCCAACCATCTCCCTGGTTTATTTGCATTGGCAAATGTATTATGTCTGATATACTTCAAATTGGTGGCCACCTGATCAGCAATTAAAATATTAAATTGATCCTTAAGTAATTTGATAGAAGCCTTCAAGTTAATATCTGTTGGCCACTGAGATAATAATTTTTCTTTAGTCCCAATTTCTTTTTCCAAGTTTAATCTACTCTGTATTTGCTTACGTTTATGTGCATTATTCATAGAAATTAGCAGACCCCTCAAATAAGCTTTACTTGCATCCCAGACAGTATATATAGGGGTGTCCTTATTCAGGTTAAGTTGAAAAAACTCTTCCATATAATCCTTCAAAACTTTGAGCTTCTCCTCATGATTAAACAGGTTTTCATTTATTCTCCAGGATTTCCTTTTTTTATATTGGCCTATCTCTATCCATACCATGCTGTGATCAGTCAAAGTTCTAGGAAAAATTTTTGTTTTATTACAGTCAATAAGCAAATCAGTTGATGTCAAGACAAAATCAATCCTTGAGAAAGACTCATGTCTATGAGAGAAGAAGGTAAAGTCACGTTCATTCATATGTTGTGATCTCCAAACATCCACCAACTCCAGATCTTCCATCATTGCAAAAAAAGACTTAGGGAGTCTGGAAAGGGCCACATCCCTAGAAGTTGTCTTTTTATCTTTTAAGGTGTCAAGTACCCCATTCCAGTCCCCCATGACAATCAAAGAATTATAATCCAAAGCCACAATTTTTTGGTGTAATTGTCTATAAAATAATTTTTGAGATGACAGTTGATTGGGAGCATAGACCCCCACTATTAAACACTTTCTTCCATTTAGATTTATTTCCACCAATAAAAATCTTCCTTCTTTGTCAGCTTCTTTTAAAATAGGTGAAAGATGTTTTTTTATATATAATGCAACCCCAGCTTTTTTCTTTAAGGCAGGTGCAGCAAACAAATCTCCAAGTTTGGCATTTAGCAATAACTTTTGATCTTTAGTCACAATATGAGTCTCTTGTAAGCATATAATATCATTGTTAAAATGTCTTAAGTAATGAAAAATCTTCCGTCTTTTATGGGGTGAATTAAGTCCCCCCACATTCCAAGATGAAATCTTAAACATTAGCTGATTTCAATCCTATGGCAATGCTTGAAGCATAAGACTTAACAAAAACCTTAGGTCGAGCGCCACCTACTGGCTCTAAAGTGGCAGGTGGTGAGCTCTCAGCTGTTTGGCGGGCTGTCAGTTGTTCCTTCTCCTTGCGTCTGTGAGCTGCACGGGTCACTCTTTGTTCTTTTCCATCATCTTTTGAACGCCCATTTACATCCTTAGCGCCGGAAGTAGAAGGGAGGTCCACAATCGAATGCTCAACCATATCAACCTTTTGAGGTGTAATTGGACACTCCGCTTGTAGCACAGACGCCATAAATTCTTTCGCCTTTTTAATCGAATTAATTCTGTAACGCTTACCAGCCA